AAGCTATCAAACTACTCTACAGCTTGGACCAGGCTGAGAGGGAATCTGGGCCAGCAATGGACAGCGACCGGTTTTTATAGATTTCCTCTCAGCCTTGGACCAATCAGGCTGTGATAAAACCCACGTGTGACCATTCCCTCCTCCCATTCTGGAAAATAGATGTTCAGACAAAGTAGTCAATCAAAATCTTTTCTAAGCAAGAGTACATCAAGGAAAATCAGACTAGGTTGGGTCATATCAGATTCAATCACGTTTCTTCCAATATAATTGGCTCATGGAAAGACACTGTCAAAGAAAAGATACCTCGACAGGCATCTGACACTATCTGAAACTTTACATAGACTGACCAGATCCACAGTACAACCTCCAATTCTGCCAAAAAAAATGACCTGAGGAGAATTAGATATAATGTGAATTCATAAGCTAAGTCAAAGATAAGGAAGTCAATCTAGGAAGTAACTAGAGATGGTTTTTAAGGTTTTCCCTATAGCAGCTCCACCTGCATCAGCTTCTTTAAGGCAGCACTAGGACCTAAGTCTGAAGATCATAACAGAAAGCAATATAATCTCCCACTGTACAAATTAATACTACTAAAATGCCATAGATGACTACAAAAAAATTCCCTTGCCATGTCACATTAGTACACAGATATTGTCTAAAATAGTTACAAGACATGCTCACTTAGCAACCACAATTATGACTGGCAACTTGTTTGTTAACTGAAGTGGTTGCTAAGCGAAACCGCAACTATGCTTATCATCTTATTTAGTTTTCCTTTGCTTTGTAGACTTCCAATGTCATAAAACCAAGGATTGGTTGTAAAGTTACTTTTTCATCACTGTCATCACTGTCCTAAATATAGTCTAAGAATATATTGACAAGAGAACAGAAAATAACTTCTCAAAGCAGAGGTGGAAATCCCCCACCCACATACAAATCCTTAGCACTTTATAATGCTATCAACACTAGCTGACAAAACTCCTCATGCTAAAAAAACAGTAGTGACAAAATTAGCTTACTTTGGCACCTTACTAATGCCAAAAATGACAGCACAGTTGAAGGACATCTATGGAGATTGTCAGTCATCCAGGTCATGGTTGTCCCAAAGATGCTTTTTGAAAAAGCAGCTGGACTTTGTTTTTTCCTTGAAGATGTTTCAAGAAAACTACTTGGATCAGAAGTGCAACATCTTCAAAGAAAAACAGTCTGTTTGCCTTTTGAAAAAGCACCTTTGAGACACAATTGAAGGTGGTTAGGGGTAGGAATTACAGTGTATAGAATAGAATAGAATAGAATAGAATTCTTTATTGGCCAAGTGTGACTGAACACACACAGAATTTGTCTTTGGTGCATATGTCTATCTCCTTAAATTGTGCCACTTCTATCTTAAAATAATTCATACTGAAATGAAGAATTACATTTCGGATTTCAATAGGATAAAATATGTAGAGACGTATTTCTTTCTCACTTTTTATTCATTCATTCCCCTGATATAAATGACATTATTACATTGGTTAACTCATGCTTACCTTGCTGCTGTGTACTGCACCCATTTTAGCAAAGCCTTCTTTGCGCTTCCTTGGACTTTAGTGAAAACCTTCCGCTTGGAGGGTGGACTGGCAGTTTCAGAACTGACGACACTATCCACAGATGATGTACTACTGCAGAGTGACTGCAACTGTGGCAGGTTGCTTGTAAGTTCCTCTATCTGCATGTGGAAGAAAAATTCTCAGTCTACAGGTAGTCCTCGACTTACAACAACAATTGAGCCCAAATTTTCTGTTGCTATGCGAGACAGTTAAGTGAAAAATGCTTAATCATATTTATCTGCCTCACCCATGGAACTGAACTGGCCAAATAACATTTGTATGCAAGAACCAACTAGATCAGGGATGTCAAACTCGCATCGTCATGGCATCGTCATATGACATATGACCTTTTATGACCTTTCTTGCCGCAGTTGTTAAGTGAATCATTGCAGTTGATAAATTAGTAACCTGGTTGTTAAGTGAATCTGGCTTCCTCATTGACTTTGCTTATTAGAAGGTTGCAAAAGGTGATCCCACGACCTTGGGACACAACAGTCATAAGCATGAATTTTGATCCCAGGTTCATGGGGATGTTGCAAAGGTTGTAACTGTGAAAAATGATCCTAACTCACTTTTTTCAGTGCTGCTGTAACTTTGAATGGTCACTAAATGAACTGTTGTAAGTCGAGGACTACTTGTACTATGCATAGTGGAAATTCTGAGGTTGAAATTTCTTCAACGTCTGATTAACAGGATATCAAGAATTATCATGAAAAGGTGCAAATAAAAAATTGCCTGACAAGAAACTGCATTCTCAGAAAATACATTTTAAAGAATGTAGAATCATATTTATCTGCCTCACCCATGGAACTGAACTGGCCAAATGTAATTTGTATGCAAGAACCAACTGGATGAGGGATGTCAAACTCGCATGGTCATGGCATCGTCATATGACATATCGTGACTCTTTTACCCCTTCGCTAAACTGGACGTGGAATTGGCCAGCACATGATGCATCCAGCCCGTGGGTCGCAAGTTTGGCACCCCTGAACTAGATGAATTATACCTTTGCAAAAACTACAAATTTATATGATTACTGTAATTTTAATGACTGTGCAGGAACTAGGAACCTAAGTCTAAAGAACATGACAGTAAGCAATATAAACTATCACTATCACCATTAATGTGTAAATTGTTGCTCATTTACACAATGCTAAGGCGCACTAATCCCCTTTCAAAAGGTGTAGCAGAATCCCCTGAGCAGTGAGACCATTCTTGAGATATAAATGAAAATAGGTATTATTACAGACTGGCACATACATAGAAAACAGGTAACTACTGAACAACATGAAGCTGGAACCACTGTGTTGGAATAAATCCTATTTTACAGACTGAGCGAAATGCAAGAGAAATTCTTCTTCTTTGTGCCCAGGGTTCTAAGAGATCTTAGTGGCTGGAGAAATTCATTTTGGGAGAAACTGTCCATTGGTTAGACCATGAACAAAATTAAATGGGTCCTAAAGGAAATCAACCCTGACTATTCTTTGGAAGGACAGATACTAAAGCTGGAGCTCAAATACTTTGGCTGCCTAATGAGAAGAAAGGACTCATTCTCATTGGAAAGGGAAGATCCTGATATTGAGAAATACTGAAGGCAAAAGGGGAAGGAGACAGTATAGGAAGAGATGGTTATATATCCATCAACTCAATGAACATGAAGTTTGACAAACTCCAGGATACAAGGGAGGATGCCGGGGGGGGTGGGGGGAGGCTTGCTATGATCCCTGGGGTCACAAAGAGTCAAACACAATTTAGCAACTGAACAACAACAACTAAAATTCAGAGGGATCTACTTTTCAATGGAATGGCTATGTTTGCCTTATTTCTTTGATGGTATAGTATGCTGGAATAATTGGAATATCAAAAGACCAAATACGTACAGTTGAAATATTGTGGGCAATATACAACAGTCCTTGTTTAGTGACCAGAGATGAGATTGGCAACTTGGTCATTAAGCAAAGAAGTTGCCAAGTGAAACTGCAACTGTGCTTATGACCTTACTTCAGTTTTACTTTCTTCAAAGACTTTGAGGATTGGTCATAAAGTTACTTTTCATCACTATTGTAATGAAAATGCTAAATGATGAAGTTGCTAAACAAGGAGTACTTGTATAACTTAATTAACAAAAGGAAACAAAAGCAAAAGTTTTATATTAATTATTATGTTGGTCATCTCTCCAAAAAAGTGAGCAGAGAAAAAACATTCTCTCTCAATTTCTATTAAGCATGGAAAACTGTAGCAACTACAGAACACTCACAATCTCCTGACACTAGGAATCACCCCTCACATATGTACACACACCTAATCAAAGACAAATTCTCCTAAATGCTTTAAAAAAAAACAGTTGAAGACATCATAGGGAATGAAAAAGCAAGATTTGGAACAGTAGTATGGTGAGTGATTTCTGACCTAAATATCCCCATATTGTTTACTTATAGTAGCATATTATTAGCTCTATGTCATGCCTAATCTTGGGAAAGGCTTGATGGGTGGATAAAAATGCCAAATCCAGTCTCAACGTCTGGCTGATTGTATAACCAAACATAATTTGTCTTTTATTATTTTAGTAAATTAGAAAATATAAAAAGCTGCAAGTAAGAATAGAATAACTATGGCAAAAGAAAGTGAAAATAGCAACAGATGCCTTGAGTGCAATTCCAAAACATTTGGAGCACAATTTGAACACCACTGGCATTGGCAAAATCATCATCAGTCAATTGCAAGAGGCAGTTTTACTTTTAACACCATCAAACAGCAAAATATCCCTATGGTTTAGGAAGGACATGGTAAGGGGATACAATACAAAATCCAGTCTAAATGTCTGGCTGACTTGTTCAACCAATAATAATAATCTGCCTTTTATTATTTTTAAAAAGAGAATATACTATACCTGGAAATACAGGATTATTGTCCACACCAACCCAAGCACAATAGATGGTCTTCCATCGGCAATATCAGTTGAATTAATGTTGACGAGCTTAATCTATTTTGGGGTAGGGAGATGTAAACACATTATCAACATGCATTAGACAAAGTCCACAACAATTGGATAGTTTGTTATAAGATTGAGACTTTTGTGGACATGTTTATGAGCCTTAATGTAAATAGTATATATTCTCAAAATCAATACTACACCTAAGGTTACTCTTCTGAATTTAAAAAAAATGCTATAAGTATATCAAACATTTGTCAGTTTATGTTTATATTTCTTAGATGGAATGAAATGTACATGAAAATAGACCATGCAAATCCTGGAAACTAGGGCAGTCCACTCTGTAGATTAGGAAGAAAATAATATGCTGCATTGGATGCTTTCCAAACAGACTTTTAGATACCGTATTTTTGGGAGTACAGTATAAGACGCACCGGAGTATAAGATGCACCAAGGTTTTGAAGAGGCAAATTTTTAAAAAAGTTTTTGCACTCTGCAGACCTCCCAAAAATGGCCCATTTTTCGCGAAAGGGGCCCATTTTGTTTTCAAAAAAAGGGCATACATAGCCTTTAGGAGGCTTATACAATGCTCCTGGGGGCTGGGGCAAAATTGAGCAAACAATGGCCTGTTTTTCGCTCATTTCTGCCTTCCCCACCCCCCAGGAGCACTCTACAAGGCTCCTAAAGGATATGCGCGGCCATTTTGGTGAAGGGGGTGAGGTTTTGGGAGGCAAAAAATGCTGTATTCAGTGTATAAGACGCACCCAGATTTTCAGCCTCTTTTTTGAGGGAAAAAGGTGCGTCTTATACTCCGAAAAATACGGTATATAAACATTTACTTCACTTGTCAATTACTAGATCCCACACATTCTTTTACTTATAAAAATTCTCTGCATTCATGCCAAAAATAGGAAGCCAGAACCACTTGAGCTTGCCCTCCCCTGCAGAATGCTTTCACTCGCAAGATCAAATAGGATAGACAATTAATATAAGGAAACTAGCAAGGAGTACAGTAAGAAGACAACTACTGGCAAGAACTAGCAATCTTTGCCCCAATATGTTCATCTGAGAAGATAATATAGCAGCATATCTGCTGCTGCACTCATGTCAGAAGCACTGAGGCGTTTCCAGACCGAAGCGATTAGTGGTGACATCACCGTTGCCCTGCGGATGTCCAGTTGCGGGCTCCTTTGATGTTCCCAGCATGAGCTGGAGTGAAGGATGGGAATTCAACCCCATCCCACAGCAGCTCTCAGATCTTGAATGTTGGGTTGCTAACCTCCAACCCAGCGTTCTAACTGCCTGAGCCACCCTGCTTCTGCAGTGTACCTGAAGAACTACAACTACCTAAGATATTTCTACTCATTATATTTCCTACAATATGTATGTCTAATTGTCTATGTACCTTTTGCTCTCTCTATAGCGTACTTAGATAATATAGCTAATTAGGTTTTTGAAAGTTTTCAATTAATTTTAGTTTAAAATTAATTGTTTATTATATTGTTGAATGTTTGATAAAAGTATTATACTAACCGGTGATCCTCTATACACGGACTAGCATGGAAAACAAATAAATATGTATTTAAAATTCTATATGTTGATAATGTTTAAAATAAGAAGATGAAATAAAAGTATGCTTTATACAGAATAACAAGTTAACATGAAAAGTGTGTTCTAAAGTGCTTTAAGCTCACTACTTTCTATCATCTCTCTATTATTGCTACTGTTTTAGTTCCCAAGACTCTTATTTTTACCCTTTCATTTAATTTCATCCCAGCTACAGAATAGGAAAAAATTGCGACTGGTTAAGGCTGTTAAGTTTCTTTCAGGGTGTGTGCAAAAGAGGCAAATGGCTACAAAACTTACCCTACGCCCTTCTAGGAACTTAAGGGAAGTACCAATATTAGCCACTCCATGAATTCTCTTCAATTTTCGTCCTTGTTCACAAGGCTTTAAAAAAATACAAATAAAAAAGGTCAATTGACATTTAACAAAATCACAGTATTAAAGCAGACTGTATTCATAATGCGAATACTTAAACAAGTTCACTAGAAAAGAAACTCAGTGAAGAGTAGAGGTCTCATATCTAAATAAATCAATCAATTTTAGAAAAAGTCATTTGATCCGTTAAAGCTCCTATTCCTTTTATATTTATATTCTGAAGGAACAGAATATAAATCTAACCGTAATTCATAGAATTCAGTTGTCACTGTTTACAAGTCACAATTACCCGTCTTGTGCAGTGGTGGAATTAAAAAATTTTTACTACTTGGTGGGCGTGGCAGGAGAAGGATGCTGTAAAATCTCCATTTCCTCCCGATCAGCTGGGACTCAAAAGGCAGAGAATAGATGGGGACGGGGGCACTCAGAGGTGGTATTTACCGGTTCTCCAAACTTCTCAAAATTTCCACTACTGGTTCTCCAGAACTGGTCAGAACCTGCTGAATACCACCTCTGATCTTGTGATAACTTTTGAAAATGTTGCAGTTAAATACACCAGATCTCCAGTGAATGGCCATACTAACTGGGGATTAGACACACAAGCTAAAATTGAACAAGTATGGACAGCATCAGACTAGGAAAAATTGCCTTATATTTCACTGATGTTTTAATAAAAAATAACAGCTAAAATATATTTTATTTTGATTTGGACTAAAACCTGTTGGACTAAAACCTGTTCTAGATTTTTTTTTTAAAAAATGGATATTTTGGATAAATGTAAAATAAATCAGCCTCAATTTTTTAATGCTTTGCTTTAATAAAACTATTTGTAGTATTTTTCAATAAAAGAAAAGTAACCCCCAAACTTCATGTTTAAGTTTTTTTCTACCACAAGAGGGAGTACTTTTTCTTATCATAATAGAAGATGACTGTAAGTTATTTAACAAGTAGGAACCAAAGAGCTGTTTGCAGTCTGAAAAAGACAGTTGCACTTGGACTGCAATGATTGATCCAATTTTACAATCCATTTGAAAAACTGCTTGCACGTTTTACGTGGAAACTATGGATTATTGGACTATAAATCCAAGAAGTAAATGGTATAAGACCAACAGTAAAAAAAATACCTGTTCTTCAGCCCTAATTTGCTCAAGATTTCAGCAGTTTACTTCCTGAAACAAATTCCTCCGAGCAGTGACACCATTATATCTCAATTGGTTTCTGATTAAACTTGCCTAGTTCTGCTCAATTATTCTAGGAGAAATTTCTCCATAACAGCAGTTAGTACTTAGACTTATATATTGCTTCGTAGTGCTTTTACAGTACACTTTATGCGGTTTACAGAGTCAGCATATTGCCCCTAACAATCTGGATCCTTATTTTACCTCATTGAGCTGGTCAAGATTGAACTCATGGCAGTGGGCAGAGTCAGCCTGCAATACTGCAGTATAACCACTGCACTACCACAGCTTCTAATAATAATGTTTCCAGAAATCTCAGAATCCCAGTTAACATGATCCATGGCCATATTGATTACAGGATTAGTTAGATTTAAGATATGAAAGACTGCTGTTGCCTGAAATCACTCTCTAAAATGGATTTTTTTTTCACCTTAAGATTGTTTACTGTCCATGAGAACTGAACTTGGAAGGCCTTGTTTTAACTATGGCTTGTCTAAAAAAAAACTATAGTGGCCTAATACATACATAATTTTAAACCACACATTGAGATTTATAAATTTCAGTGACTAATACCATAGAACTAAGTAAAAATGAAAGGAAACTAGATTGATTTCTAACAGTACTATCTTGATACTCTATAAGGCTAATATGAAAATATTTACACTAGTTAATGCTTATTTTTCATTCATTTGCTTTTCTAGCATGGGTTATATATACTGGATGATCAGCAATCCATAAATACATCTATCATACCAAGATCAATATTATAGAGTATGCATTATTTATTATGCACAGGGAAAGAATATTAGCATTCCAATGTTTTGGGGAAAGGCCATTATTTACAAAGCATGAATAAGATCAATTAATAGAACAATAAAACGTATATATATATAAAAAATACTTACTAATTTTTGTCCTGAAAGGACCTCCAAGAGAGCAATCAATACAATTCCATCTTTAATGTCTTCAAATAGATCTTTGACCACCATGGGAGGATTGCGCTGTGAATGAAAGTAGGAAAATTTGAAGTAAAAAACTTTAGTTATAAATATTTCTCACATTGTATCTTCTTCAATTTAATCATGATTTTCTACCTTCCTGTCAAAGGTTTTGTGTGACAGAGAAAGTGTGTTAATGAGAACACACTGGGAAATTGGAAAGCATTCCAGAAGAATCACTTCTATACTCTTATCAAGATTCCTTTATGGCTCTACTTCTGCAGTCACCAAAAGTCAACCTTTATTTTAGAAAATATTTCCCATTTCTTCATTATTATTACACAGAAAATAAAAATTAGCCAAAAAAATCCGTAAAACTTTTCTTGATAGAGCAAAATTACCCAGGATAAAAAATATGTTGTGTATACTTAATATTTTCTGAGTACAGTTTATTTTCCTTATAGCATATAAGACACATACATTACAGTAATTTCGTGTGAAATGGGCAGCCTTTATAAATTTGATGAATGAATGAATGAATGAATACATAAAATAGAAGGAAGGTACATCAGATGTTAGTATTCCAATACATCTTTATTTACAACAAAAACAATACTTCTTATATACTCCTTCCCAAGTAACACCTGTATAAGAATAACTAACTATACATCTTTATATAGCAAAAATTATTCTTTATTAGACCAATTTTTCTCACTCAATTTTCCCCTTATTTTCTCACATTTGGTTTGTGCATTTCCTCTTATTGCTTCTATTTTTGTTCTTATGTAGCACCTCTCTTCAACATGTCCTTCCCGGGCTCATATTGCTGGAGAATAACTTTGGGACAAGCAATGCTTGGAAATATCGCCTTCTCTCTACACTAGTCTTCAAATAGTGAAAATGCAAAAAAGCAATGGAGTTCTTCTACTTTATACGTCAGCAAGTATTGCAGGATACCTACACACATTCTGTATACCACACAAACTCTATTTTAAATTTGGAATAATTTGGGAGATGCATCCACAAATAGGATATTATTCTACCTTAGTACTTCTTCCCTTGGTCTGTGGCATAATAACTATCTATCACAGTCACAATATTGAAATATTTTCTTATAATAATATCTAAAATAGCACAAGAATTGGTGAGAAACTAAAAGGTTGTAATGAGCAACAGTGATGGCATTTTGCAAGGAGAACTAGCTTTCTCAAGGGTATGTGAGCATGTCAGAAAAGTTATATGAAAGGAAGATTATAGACATAGACATTTTTGTTTAATGCAGACACTCTCTGTAGTCATTGTGGCTACATAAATAAAAAGAGAAGGAGACTACAGGTGAGACTTCATATTCAGAAAACTTATATAGCTTTTATGTGTCTCTCTATATGCGTTTGCATGCCTGTGTCTCTGTGGGTGATTGGCTAATGCCATACACTATCATAATGATTGGCTTACATCTTTGAATTAGAAATCTGTAAGAGGTGACAAGGAACAACTGCTCATCTCTGCCTACTTGTTGATTTGGGCTGTATTGCAATGAACAATTTCCTTATCTTCTTGCTTTTTATTGTACCCTGGCTTGAGAACAAACTGCTTAACTTCTAACAACAATGATCTCAAATTATGCTGTTATAGCAACAGAACAGATTCTTCTTAAGAACCAAATATTATTTTAAACCTGCCACTCTAAGATTGAAAAGTCTAACTGGAAATAGGACTCTTAAAATATGAACATTATGCATAACTAGGCTCTAAATTTGCTTAGCTTTTCACTAGAAGAGAAAGTGCAGTCAGAGATTTTTTTTAAAAAAGTATAGTTTTAAAGACGTACAGGCCCTAAACCAGAATCAAACAAATAACAGTTCCTATATCAGAGCCCAACAAACAATATGTTGTGAACTAGCACATTTTCATTTTTGTATGACACATCAAAATGCTTTTCTCTGTGGCAAAAAAGGATAAGGCCCATAAAGGGAATGAAAGTTAATTCAGTCACCTTTGGCTGACAAATCAATTTTGTAAAATTCATTTTTTTTATTCTATGTAACGTTTGGCTAGCACTTTTCCACATATTTGATTAGTAATAAATCATCAGTTCATTTGCCCCCATCATTTATTCCACCTAAATTCTCTCTTATGTTCCAAGATGCCAAATGATTTGACTTACATCAGCACTTGGCTTAGTTCAAGTAATGATTTTTAAATATATGCAGTATATATTTTCTCGATTTTTTTTTTGCTACTCATAAGCTAATAGCACACACCATAAATCTTTAAAAGGTTATCTTTTTATTAGCATAAATCTATACCTTTTACCTTTTTAGCTTGTTCTGTTCCTAATGATTAAAGCTAGAAAGCTGGAGGTCAGTTAAAAGTCCCCTTTCTAAAATATTCAGATGACTAAACATGGCAAGAGAGATGGAATATTCCTGTCCTTAATGGTCCCATAAAACGAAAAATATACCCACCTACCCAATAGATTCGTGTTTTTGTTACAAGGTATGTTATTTTCTGATACTTGCTTCTCCCTTCAGTAATTTCCATAGGGCAGCGATGGTGAATATTTTCAGTACCGAGTGCCCAAACCGGAACGTGAGTCCATGTAGCATCGGAAACCCGAAGACCAGCTGGCATGCAACCGGCCACTTAGTCTTCGGGTTTCTGGCGCTCCGGCACACACAAAGATCAGCTGGCTGGAAACCAGAAGAGCAGCTGGTGACAGCATACGCGCCCACAGAGAGGGCTCTGTGTACCACCTCTGGCACGCGTGCCATAGGTTCACCATCACATCCACAGGGCATACGGTTGCTTCTTTTGAAAATGTATGAACTGTTTCAATCTAAAAAGATTCTGAGCAGTGTGCACACAGGGACAGTAATATAGTACAACTGCAATATCTTATTATAGTAATAAATCATTATTCAAAATCAGCAGTAAACCACTCATCTACTTGCGCCAAGAACCCACTACATTAGAACACTAATTATCTTCTAAAGGACTTCTGAAACACGAAAGTTAGGACAATGGGAGTTATCCTTGCCTTGAACTGATAAGGGGTCTCAAAGGAAGCAAAGTCGCCCAGACCAGGCCTGCTTTCACTCATCTTTCCTCTACCCCAAGATATGTGGGGGAGGAGGGCTGCAGCAGTCATTTGCCTTAGACTTAGACTTAGGCAGAATCTAATTGGAAAAGGCAGCCTTGTATATGTATGCATGTATCCATGTGTGTGTATGTGTGTATGTATTTATGTGTGTGTATACAGACATGCATACATATATATACACATACATACACATATGTGTGTGTATATGTGTGTGTGTGTGTGTGTATCTGTGCATGACCATATGCATATATGGTGTATGACCAAATATATGACCTAGGAGATGAATACTCCTAGGCCATATGTATGTATGATGTATGTATGCATGCATGCATGTATGCATGCATGTATGTATGTATGACCTAGGAGTACTCATCTCAAATGATTTAAGCCCTAGAGCTACTGTAAAAGCATTGGCAAAAAGGCATTAATAAGTTTTTGAAGTTCTGGCTGTCACAGCATTCCCAGGGTCAAATGATTGCAAACTAGGCACTCGCAATTATATCACGGCATTGTGCATTCCCACAATTACCATTCATGACCCTCTGCCAATTTCCAAACAAAGTTGATGAGGAAGCCCGTGGAGGGTTACAATGGCGACCATGTGATGTTTTGCTTAATGATGGTGCAGGATTTGCTTAATGAAGTGCCAGAACTGCTGTCACTCAGTGTCAGAATCACACAATGTTACACTTTAAAACCCCATCGCTTAGTGACAGAAATTCCAGTCCCAAGTGTCATCTGAGGGCTACCTGTATATCTATTTTTAATGAGCATGATCATTATTTTCAAAAATAATTAAATGCAAGGATATTATGTAAGAACTATTGACATTATCCCAATAATATTAAACATATGGTTTGTGGTTTTCATTTTGACACTATGATATTTTAAAATTGTGTAAAATAATATAAAATACTATTAATGATTATTTCCATGCATACTAGCAAGCATAAAAAAATGAACAGAGAACCTTTTAAATGGTTATTAAATTGATTCCCTACCTCTCACTGGTGTTTATTAGTTGAAATTATTAGCTAATTCAGAAATGTTTAACAAGTAAATACGTGGAGCGTGATAATTTGGCAATGGTGATACAATCAAATAACATGGTTTTAAGAGTAAGTAGGAATCAGATGGGCACATTTAATGATGACACAAAATTATTCAGAATAAATAAGACTTTTAGAAAAGAAAAAAAAAACCTCCAAGAAGAAAGTGCATGAAAATACCAAATGCAATTTAAAGTGCAAAAATATAAAAACTTCTACATTATTATACATATACACTGCTCAAAAAAATAAAGGGAACACTTAGACAACACAATGTAACTCCAAGTCAGTCACACTTCTGTGAAATCAAACTGTCCACTTAGGTAGCAACACTGATTGACAATCAATTTCACATGCTGTTGTGCACATGGAATAGACAACAGGTGGAAAACATAGGCAGTTAGCAAGACATCCCCAATAAAGGAGTGGTTCTACAGGTAGTGACCACAGACCACTTCTCAGTTCTGGCTGATGGTTTGGTCACTTTTGAATGCTGGCGATGCTTTCAGTCTAGTGGTAGCATGTGACAGAGCCTACAACCCACACAAGTGGCTCAGGTAGTGCAGCTCATCCAAGATGGCACATCAATGCGAGCTGTGGCAAGAAGGTCTGCTGTGTC